CCTCCCTGCAGTGTGAAGTGTAGAACTCTACTGTCTCCTTCCCACTTCATTCTGCTCCATGTGGAGACCATGAGGAGGTCTGGATCTGTTTACAATCAGAGGAGGAATTAAAGAACCTCTTAATGAGGGTGAAAGAGGAAGGTGCAAAAAATGGTCTGAAGCTCGACATAAAAAAAAAGACCATGGCCAGTGGTCCCATCACCTCATGGCAAATAGAAGGCGAAGATATGGAGGTAGTGACAGATTTTACTTTCTTGGGCTCCATGATCACTCCAGATGGTGACAGCAGCTACGAAATTAAAAGACGCCTGCTTCTTGGGAGGAAAGTGTTGACAAACCTAGACAGCATCTTAAAAAGCAGAGACATCCCCTTGCTGACAAAGGTAAAAGCTATGGTTTTTTCCAGTATCGATGTGTGGAAGTGAGAGCTAACCATAAAAAAGGCTGACCGCCAAAGAATTGATGCTTTTGAATTGTGGTGATGGAGGACACTCTTGAGAGTCCCCTGGACTGCAAGGAGAACAAACCTATCCGTTCTGAAGGAAATCAACCTTGAGTGCTCACTGGAAGGACAGATCCTGAAGCTGAGGCTCCAATACTTTGGCCATCTCATGAGAAGAGAAGCCTCCCTGGAAAAGACCCTGATGTTGGAGAATGTGAAGGAAAGAGAAGAAGGGGACGACAGAGGATGAGATGGTTGGACAGTGTCATCGAAGCAACCAAAATGAACTTGACCAAACTCGGGGAGGAAGTGGAAGACAGGAGGGCCTGGTGTGCTCTAGTCCATGGGATCATGAAGAGTCAGACACGACGACTAAGCAACAACATGTTTCCAATATAATTCTCCCATCTGTAGTCATTCTGTCACCACATTCGGTTACCAGTGTGGACTATGCCTTATTTTAAGTTCAAAAGAATGAAGAAAAAGGATGCTGGTATCATGAAATGAGGTTGCCATTCCCATGTTTTTTGTGATGGTCCACCACAGCAAAACAAGCAGGTAAAAAATTATCCCCAAATATGTGAATGTATTTCTAAATATTGCCATGTAGGTTCAGTCGGGCTGGTAATTTAAGTTCTTGAAACATACAAAATCATATCCAAAATACTATAGCTGTGGTGATAGTAATTAACTGTTTAAACTATATAGTCAGAACTCATTTTGGCCACCCCCTAGGGTGGAATTTAAAAAGCCATGCAATAGTGTCCCATATATTTCAAGTACTAGAGTTGTTTTTTGAAGTTCCAATATGAATGATGCAACATGTTCCGCATATGCCATACTGAGCTAAGTTGAATTTTCCTGGACTTGTGCTGCTAATTTCAGTAGCACTTGCACAGACGTTCTTGGGGATTCTGTACATAACCAGATCCACTTTATAATAATCCCAAGTATAATTGGATTAAATATTCACCTTTTCAAAATGAGAGGCAATGATTTAACCTTTTACTTAATCAGGAAACAAGGGTGTATTGTGTACTGACTATTTAGGAGATCGATGCAAACTTGATGAATGCAGCTCTCTTGTGTTCCTTTTTTATCTGAATCTGCTTAATAGCCATGCTTGCACTGGCAGGTTTATTGTTTGAAATATGAATATATTGAACATAGGAAAATGGAACTGAGCCCAAGTAGTCAATTTTTCCCATTTTCTTTATGGCTTTGGTCCAGTTGATCTAGATAATTAATAACACTGAGAAGCAGACGTTAAGAAGAATGAGTGGGTAAGGGGGCTTGGGAAATAAAACCTCCGGCATACTTTGAGAAAATGTGACACATTCCAAAATATCAATATTCTTTTTGCATTTAATTTGGGATGTTTTGGATACTATTTATTATTTGTCATAGATGGAACAATGCGCAGACTACAAAATGATAGTTCATGACTCTGTTTTCTTTATCCATGCCACATTGGCTGCCTCCTATACTTTGTTACCTTAAGCCTTGTTTCCAGTTTCACTTCTAATGTTGTAATGCATCACCAGATGACTAGATTCCCAGTTTCACACAGCAAACATTGCACTGTGTTGCCCTGTTAGACATATTGGTTGTATTGGGTGTCCAATAATGGCCTTCAGATTCCACAAGCAGAATTTTTTTTTTAAAAAAAATGCCTCTCTTCATGTGCCCACCAAATGTGTTGTGGGGCATTGGGAGCTGTGAGGCAAGGAGTGCAAACTAAGACATAGAAATGAAAGCATGATTTCCACACTACATGTCCTGTTCCTTTCATAAGTAGGTCAGAAGCGTGATTGTTACCAATCTTAGGCATTGCCTACATCACTGTGATGCCTTCCCATCCTTGAGGATCTTGAGATTTGGACTCAGGATGCACTTATCTTTTAAGGTTTAACTAAATGGTGTAATTAGCATGATCCTTAAGAGATTAAATGTGTCTGTTTCTCTTAACACAATCTTTCCTCACCTCTGTGTTTTGCAAATTAGCTTGCTTTTATTTTATAGTTGCATCAATCAAGAAGTCAGCAAAGGCTTCACTGGCAACTTTGGTTTCTATATGACTAATGAGAAGGGCCATAATGCAAAATATATGAGGAAAAAATTACCACACCAAAAGAAAATTGATTTCTTTCTTGTGTATAACCACTGCACATGAAGTGAGGAAGTTCTAAACTTCTATTAGTATAGAATTTAGGAAATATCTGTCAGTCTTCCCCAAGACTTTCACTTTCATTCACAGGGAAACATTCTTTGCATTAGAATTTTTTTTCTCAAATGTCACAACCTTTCCTCACTTTCATGATAAATATCACTTAGGGCTGATTACATGTACATCATTATTTGATAACCAAGGCCTGTCACTTGCTCAAATTGTGTAAACTGTCTCAGTTGAAAATATTGTGCTTACATTGTATGGCGCAATTGTTACTTCTGTGATGATCTGTGAGTGGTTGTGCACACAGGTGGTTCATAAATAAACAACACAGCCACAAACATGTTCTTATTTGAAGTGTTGCAGGGAGCTCTCAGTTATGCCCTGTTAGAAGAAGCAATTGGTAGATAGTTACTTGAGCATGCAGACTCCCCCCCCAGCAAGCCTTTTGCATGATAGCCCCCAAGAAGTTGCAGAAATCTTTAGCAGACTGTTGTATCTGTCGTGTTGTACAGCTTGTAAATTATATGGCAGTAATTGTTAGAGCAATATGGGTAGTTGTTGACATTACATGCATGGCATGTCCTGTGGGGCAGCCTTTATGTGCTTATATTTTCAAGTGGCTTTCACACATTTACGTGTACTGAATGTGTGAAGTTGGTCCTGGAACTGTAGTGAAGTGGGTCAGCTGCTCACTGCAGCAAACTGACCAAGAAATCAAAAAAGACCAACAAGCAGAGAGAAGTCTTTACTGTCAAACAAAGCTCCTTACATGTTTCAGAAATTAGACAAAAAAACTAACACATGACAAAACATGATAATCACATAGTAATAATAAAGCGAAGAAGGGATTGGAGCGGGATATTATATGTAGAAGTCTCTTCAAGTCTCTCTAAATTGTTGTGGAAACCTTCCAATATTGCAACAACAATACATTTTCTCTGTATTCTTGTCCTGGTTTTTATCCAATATGTGGCTTTTTAATCCAATATTTGTGACACTTAACTAATAAGAGTTGTTGCCATTAAATAGTATTGCTGGTCATTCTGGCGTTAACAGTTTTTTGCACTTTTATATGTGTATCAGTTAGCTATAAAATATAATGATTACAACATTATGTTCTAGGCCATGTATTTATTTTTATAATGATATGTATTTAGCCACTGTTAATATTACAGCTTTGTCATTTGTGTAACTATGAAATACTCCTTGAGGAAGAACTGTCAGGGTCAAACTACAAGTTGCAATAAACACGTAGCCTGCAAATATGTATCTCTACTTTTGCTTTATAGTAAGCACACATAGCCCAGATTTGCTCGAGCATCTAAGATGCAGCAGGTTTAAACGATCTGCCATATCTGCTTTTACCTAAAAATAGGAGGGGCACAGAGGAGTTGAAAAAAGAAAATCCACTGGTGCCAATTTGAAAACAAATGAGTTGGGGTTTAAATCTTTTCTATCTGCATGCTTGGTCCCAAACTCTCATTCTCATTTGCAGCACAATGAAAAGGGATCTTAAGCTTCAAGACAAGGAGATGGGATCTTAAGTTTTAAGATATATGCAACATGTCCCCTCAGATTCAGAACATTCTGAAATTTTGCTTATCCAAAGTTTTGCTTTCTACATCTGTTTCCTGGAATCATTAATCCATTTTCCATAAGCTGGCTGGTTGTTAATAAACAACAGTATTTGATGTAAATATGAGCCATATTGAAGCCAGGTACTGTATTTTCAAAGTGCAGTCATATTAGAAAGTGGCATAGAAGCCAAATTGAGTGCAACACTGAAGATCCAATTTAAAGGGGGGAAAACATGTCTGCCTCATTACACACAGATGGACTAGGACAATGATCCTATTTTTGGAGCAGATGAGGTATGGGGGTGGATACTACCCTCCCAGCGGTTTACTTCCTTGTGCATGTGGTTCATCTCTGGTTTGTTTCCTCTCAGCTGAATTTAATTGATGCACAGCTGGGAGAGAAATGCTTTAAAAAGATGTGGGCATGGGTGGAATAAGCAGGCAGGGACTGGAATCATCTATCCATATAGATATATGGTCCCACTCCATCTTCCATCTCATATGTGATTTGAATAAAACTTGGTTGCAAGATGTCTGCCAGTTTAGCATTGAGTGCATTAGGTTTCTCCATAGAAGCTCACTTATACTGTAAGAAGGTGTGGTTGCAAAAATATGGCCAATGCAAAATCATTGATGTTGAAGTTAATCAAGGACATCTATGTCATAAAGATTAAATTGTTTCAGGTGCTCTTTAGCCTATGGATTGTCTTAAACGTCAGTATAAATGGCTGGCATTCAAGTGCCCATTATATATAAGTGGGCAGTGGCAAAGTAGCCAAACCACAGCCACAATACTTTCCTTTTTCAGATTTCAGAACCCGATTATTGCCCTGACTTCTGGCCAGCAAACCTGGAGTGGTTCCATGGTAAGTCTGAAAATGAATTTAAACATATGTTTTTTTTTTTAGTTTTTTTAGCTAATGTTAGCAAATAAGTTTCTGAAAATGTATTTGTTCTTATTGCAGATGGCACTGAGTACACATGAACAACTGGAGATCTTTTAAACCCTATTTCAGAATCCAGGGTTGCCCCACACAATCCACTATAAAGCACCATCAAAACATCAGAGTTATGGAAACTGCGATACAGATATATGTTTGCCTGCCTCATACATTTCTATGACTCATTCACAGAGGACTTTTCTCATTACAAAGACTACCTGCTGATTTATTTATTTATTTTCAAATGGGAAATGAGTCATTGACTCCAACAGTAGCTACTAGGTAATATTGTTTCAAGTAAAATGTTACTTCAAAGCCAACTCATAGAAAAATGGAACAAATTATAAACAAGAATCATACTCCCTTACTCAGAAGTCTGGCATGCAGTTTTTCCTAAAGACAACTACTTTTAGGCTTAAGTTTGAAGGCGACCACATGTGATCTGTTGGGACAGTATTATAGCTCCTCTTACATCCTCATCTTGCATTACATTGAAAAAAATATGTTGCCATCCAAAATAAGTATTCATGGCATATACTGATATAGTTAAGAAAACAACCTTTTGCACTTGAAGTGTAATGGTGTCACTTCAAAGTGGAACCGTGCAGGTTTGGGAACAGTGGCTACATATCTCCTCACATTTGGAAGTTTGAAGATTGTAGAGTTTCATGTAATTATAAGTTCTCTCACATTTTTGTGGTTTTAGGACAATTACCATTTATGTATAGTTTAATTCTTCCCCTAAATAAAACATTTATTTCAGGAGATGATTGCTAGGATTCTTATAATTTTTCTCCCTCCATTTGTGTTTCCATCCTGTAGCATGTGCTAATATACCAGTGAATCCTTAAGTGTTCCCACATTTTCATATGCTGTTTATAGTCAGCTGCATCTAATTTACAGGTAAAAGTTGTAAAAGAAGAGAGCGGAAAGCTTGCTTATGATGAAGTCAATCAGTCCAGTCAACATACTGTGTGTCAAATATACCATGCTGCATGTTTAGGGATCGTATTTTGATCCTTTGATAAACCCCTTGAATGGAAAACATGTTTTTATGTTATTGGCCCTTTGCACTACATTGAAACCCAAATAGAACCAAATATAAGAATGGGTTTATTCATTTCCAGTCAGAAAAAAAAAACATCTGAAATCCTTTCCTCTCGACCCATCAATAGGATTACTCTAGAGAACTGTGACCTGTGTACTTAGTTTGAAAGCCAAAATCAGGCCACCAGGATATGAGAAAGGGATATGCAGACAGATGTTTTTGTACTTAAGGCCATTAACTGCAACATGATGGACCATCAGCCTTTACAAAAAAACAAACAAACCCTAAAATCTAAATGGCTGCCAGAATACTCCTCTGAGATTTTGCACATGTAATTCAAGGCTTTGAATGTCTTTGATCTGTCTGGAATTTGTACTCTTTCTCTTAAATTATTTTCCTGCTATTTGTTAAAACATTTAAATTAATAAAAGGATTTTCTCTTTAAGTGAATGGGCTCTCTGTTCATTGTTCTTCTCATTAGAAAATAGTAGCTTATCCTGTGTGGTGATGCTTGTGTAAACCCAGTGTGGTGTAGTGGATAGAGTGATGGATTAGGACTCAGGAGGCCTGAGTTCAAATCCCCACTCAGCCATGGAAACTCACTAGAGTTGTTGCACTGATAAAACCACTTCTTAAAATATCTCACTTGCCTTGAAAACCCCATTAGAGTTGCTCCAAGTCAGTTCCAACTTGAGGGCATACAACAACATAAATACTTATATTACACTTCAGCACTGCAGTTTTTCATTTACTGTTTTGTACCTTGAGATGTCCTTAAAAGCCTTGATCTAGTAATCTTCTTGGGGGCACAGAGGATGTAGAACACACTTTCATAAGCTTCTCTATTTGACTGAATGAAGGAGAAATTGTCACAAAAAGATGGGAGTTGTGTTTGCTGCTCAGCAAATGGAGAAGCTTGGACCAGAAGATATGGGGGGGGAACAGGAGGGCGGAAAAAGTTGACTCCATCCCCATTGCCCCCTGACCCATGAAATAATTATTTTCCCTGGACTTTTCCTTGTTCACCTTCCCTAGGCCTTCAGATTTCTAACACATAGTAAAACTATATACATTATTGCACACATGAACCCATTTGGGCTTTTTCCCCTTTCTTCAAACAGCTTCTCCTACACAGTGTTTACATTGATACAGTAGAATTTACACGCAACTGATTTAAGCAGTGATCTGCTCCAACTGTTAATGAGGAAAAATGAATGCTGCAATCAGAACGTTCTTAAGATATGATAAATGTATTGAATTTAACAATGTTATTAAAAAGTATACATTCATATACCAAATTAAAATATTACTGGCCCATACAGAATATAATGAGCACTTTTTTCATGAACAACCAATCTGAAAAATAAGACTGCTGTATTAGAGATTATGACATTGCCAGGAGGGGGAAAAAAACAAGCTTGAAAATATTCTTTTTCAAAGTCAGACTTACTAAACCAGCACAAGCTGTGCAGAGATGGTAATGGTGCTCCTCTACCCAAAGCATATGGCATCTTTTCTTTAAAGCTTCTAAACTATCTCTTCAGACATCTTATTGGCCTTTGCTCATTATATGTGAAATGCTCACTTGGATTATAGAAGGTGGAGGCAGAGTTCTTGGTCCAGAGGTTTAAGTCATTGATCGCTTAGATTCTTTCACTACTTCAGTGCTGCTTTGAAGACAGAGGTTTAAGGCAGTGGAAGTTTTCAGGAACTGATATGAAACCATTCCCATCCCATAGCTATTTCAAGTAAGTAGTCAGTTTTTTTCTGTTACTGGCAGATTCTGAAATCAATGAGATGTCAAGTTAAATGGGAAGTCTCATAAGAGAATGTTCACCAAATATGTGCCAGTCGTGTCATCGGGCAGAAATCACTATATGAATTTGTAAAAATTGCTTTAATGAAGCCACACGTAAGCCATGAGACATCCTGATTTTGGTGAAAACTTCAGGGTGTGTAACCACATGGAATAAAAACCCTTCATCAAAGACTAAACACAATATTTGCTTAAGATCTCCTTTATTTATTCCAGCATCGTGTTTGGTCAGCAATGACCATCAATAGTCCTTAGGTACTGTACTTAATAACAACAGAGCATGTTCCATAGAGTCTGTTGTTAATAATTTAATACAAAAGCTGCATCCCTCATTTTATAGGCTTTGTGGGGTATCCAGAAAACACTGAAAACCTCTTTGGAAATCGGTGGTCAGAATGCTTGCCTTGTGCTTTAAAAGTGCTTTTGCAGTTTCTTCTCTTTCTGCTTCTACATTCTTTTGGCCCCCTTCACTGATTAGTCTCCTGTTCTGTAATCCTGAATCACATGACCTTTTCCTAAGTCTTCTGTTCCCTTGTCTTTCTTTTCAGTTTAAACTGAAAAAAAACAAAGCACTCCATGAAATTAAGCAAAATCCATTTATGTTGCACGGAGAACATTGATATTTTGAGCATGAAGTTGGTTGGTTGGTTTCCCAATTCTGTCTCACATCCAAATGCTTGGTTTTCAAATTCTAGCAGATGCTGTCGGGTATTGTTAAATGCCCAGGCCCTGATTGGGTCTCTACATGAAGCAGTGGGTGTGTTTGGTGTGTTCTCTGCCTCTAAGAGGACCAAGACCACAAGTGCCAGTTTGGTTGGTTGTGGTGATTGGGGTTCAATCAGGCCTCTTACCTTCAGGTTAGAGCTCTCTTGATGATGCTATCCTTCATGCAACATAGACTAAATCCAATAAAGCTCCAAATTTACATACGCAGAACTACTAGAATAAAAGTCATAGCCTCTTTCTCAGTGCAAATGCCCATATGGCCTTGGGAAAAACCCCACAAAGATTTTAAGACTAACATGGGTTTCTTTCCTGAGAAATTTCACAGGTTTGGGGTAATTAAATGTAGAACAGAACAGATTCTATTAGGACAATAACACAGTTAGGACAATATAGAAGAACAGAGATCACTTTTCAGTACAGTGGTGCCTCACTTAGCGATTGCCTCGTTTAATGATGTATCCGCTTAGCGATGAGGTTTTTGGAGCAATCTTGCGCTCCGTTTAGCGATGTTTCGAATGGGGGAATTTCGCATAGCGATGTTCAGGACCTTGCTTCGCTTAGCGATGACAGTTTAAGTCCCCCTGTTTCGCTTAGGGATGTTTTTGACAGCTCCGTTTTCGCTATTTTTAAAAGGTGTTAAATTGTTTAAAAAGGGTTTAGAGTGCTTGAAATCGTTAGTGCACTTAATAAACCCTTTGTTATCCAAATTTGGCTTCGTCCTGACTCTTTTTGAACTTTTGGTGATTTTTTTTTCTCCCCCATTGAAATGCATTGAAAAGGTTTCAATGCATTCCAATCGGGGAGCTGTGTTTCGCTTAGCGATGTTTCCTATGGCAATTTTCGCTTAAGGACAGCAATCTGTTCCTATTGGAATGGATTATCCGGTTTTCAATGCATCTCTATGGGAAAACGTGTTTCGTTTAGCGGTGTTTTCCCATAGCGATGAATTTTTTGAACCAATTAAAATCGTTAAGCGAGGCACCACTGTAGTACGTTAATTATATGAGTTCAGTTGCTCTTGCACCACTTGGCCACAGTGATAAACAGTTATATTAATTTTTTTCTCTTTTATCTGTTACAGGCAAATGGGCACAGTTTTGTACATATGGAACATGAAAAAGCTGTATTACTGCTGAAGAGTTTCCAGAATACAGTAGATCTAGTTATTCAACGTGAGCTTACTGTCTAAATATTTTTATATATAGTAAAATATGCTTAGCCACATCTAATGTTTAATTAAANCAATTGCTGGACCAATGGCAAACATAGTGCCAAATGTATAATAGTATACGTTAGTACTGACCATCCTGACGAAAAACAATTATATAACTTCCATGTGATTATGTACTGGTTTTCATTGTAAGCCTTTGGCTATGCACTGGGGCCAGCTTTTGACTATTCTTGTTATTATTTCTGGGTGTCCTGTAATTTCAGAACACAGAACCACCCATAAGCTCTTTAAAAATTCTGATGTCTATCCAAAACACTGCCTCAAAGTTGTATCTACCTTTAAAAAGAAAATGATATAAAATTAAAATTCCCATAAAATCTTTCTATTTCAAGTTAAATATATAGAGTAATATTTTCATAAACACCTGGAAAACACACACATACAAGTTAGAATAGCAATCTTACACTCACTTATCTGACAGTTGAACTCAGTGGAACTTCTGCTTTTTGAGGATTTGTGAATAGGTTTACTCTTCAAATCTTTCTACCTTTTTACTTTTTTCCAATGCAACTGTATGTATGCCTTACACTGGAGAATTAACGCTTAGAAGACAAATAGCCTAATTGGGAGATCAGGGGAGGTGACCCATTTTTATGTGCCAACTGTTTAGTACCTAAATAGTATCCTGCCCTTTCAATAAATTAATGTCACTAGCACAGCAATTAGGATCATATAAATCAGTCTTCCCGGCCTGGTATTTTTCTGGAGTACAACTCCCATTAGCTCTGGTCAGCATGGTTAATTTCAGAAAAAGATAGCAACTGTAATCCGGACCATCTGGAGGCACTAGTTTGGGGTAAAGTCTTTAATCCAATACACTGAATATGAAAATAATAATTACATGGAGAGGGAGGGTCCACACAATACTCCTCAGCCTAGTATGTGAAGTGCATACTGGACCAAAAAGGGGGGCTGCCTGCAAGATCAAAAGATAAGACAGCGCTAGGTAATCTCAAGAGGAAACATGCTCTGTATTTTCTCTGTAGCCATGAAGAAAGCTCTCATATCCTAACCACAGACTCATCCCAGAAGATAATAAGAAATGAGCAGATTGTATAGGAGGATGTGGCTCCTTCAACATCCTGTATCTAAGCCATTTTGGTCTGAAAAAGAAATCTGTGACACTTGCAGTTGTACCTGGGAACAAATTAGCGATTACTTTAGCAATTTCAAAAGAAGTCTTTCTCAATCACACACTAAAGATTATTACCAAATGCTTCCCACATTTTACATAAATAAAGATATAGGAGGACCAGAGGTGTGGGTGTGTGCTGAGAAACAAGGCATGTTCTCCAACAACACCAACCTGTTAGAGAAATAGAGAATTCTGCCAGTTCTTTTCATAATCCCAAACTGGATTCGAGCTCAGGCCAAAGGATCAGGCAAGTCAGCAAGTCCACAATACTGCCACATACATTCTGCCTCGGCTCAATGGCCATGATTGTAACTGATTTCATTCTACTCTGCGAAATATATTAGCATTCAAGGAGGTAGGGTTTATAGATATCCATTATTCCTTGGAACTATAAATAAACAGACCATGCAAGAATAAGGTATCTTGCTTTTGCTGATACTGTCAGCTTACTCCATGACCATATGTGAAATGGGTAAAAAATAGATTTTAAAGGCTGTTAGTTTGAGTTGGAAACTGTGTCTTTTAACTTTATTTAAAATGTTTAAGCATTATAGTT